AGTTTTCTTCAAAGTTTCTGTTGGGAGTAGTATAAGCTTATGGTATCTTTAAAATGCTTTTGCAAATCCAGGTTTATGTAGATTCGTTGGTGAAGAAAGCATACGAAAATTGGGAACAGGTTGTAGATTATGATGGCAAATCACTTGTTAATGGCAACCAAAATACCAGTTCTATTGCATCTGAAAATGAACTTCGTGTTGAGTCAATTGATTATGGTTCTGGTTTAGATCATCAGCTGCAACTGCCGGGACTTCCAGTGTCCGTTCCTTCTGAACATCAAATGAATTCTGGGATGTCAGTTGGGGGTAAGGATTGCTGTTTCCTTAACTCTCAAATGATATCCTCTTTTTCTGTTCCTAACCCCTCTTCCTTTTCGTTTGAACTGGGGTTGTCATATTCAGTTACTTTTGTGTCTCATATGATTCTGAATACAACTTTCAGCGATAATAGTTATTCAAATGAGATCTTTTCTATAATTCTGTTAATAAGAAAATTTTGAGGCTGCAACTGTGCAATGGTAATCTTGGGATGCAAATGTATGCTTATTCAATCTCTTTTCAGGTTATAACGATAATGAGGTAACACGATATCCAACCCAGTCATTGATTTCAAACTCAAGCTCCCGGAGTCAGTTCGATAGCTCATTATATCTGTCTAATGACCAATTAATTACCAATACTCACCACACCCCAAACACTAGAAACGATCATGGGACAGTTGGGTTAGCTCTAGGACCTCCTCAATCATCGACGTCAGGGTTTCATGCTGGTAGCTCTTCTATTCAGCCATCTACTCTAAACCCTTTTGATGATTGGTCACACAACAGGGACAAGGGGGTTGATGAATTCTTTTCAGAAGAAGAAATCCGCCTCAGAAGTCACGAAATGTTAGAGAATGAAGATATGCAGCACTTGCTTCGGCTCTTCAGCATGGGAGGCCATGGGTCCATGAGTGCGGAGGATGGCTTTTCATTCCCAACATATATGCCATCTCCCAATATACCAAACTATGATGAGGACCGTTCTCGCCCAGGCAGAGCTGTTGTGGGATGGTTGAAGATCAAGGCAGCAATGAGGTGGGGGTTCTTTATCAGGAAGATAGCAGCTGAGAAACGGGCACAGATAGAGGAGTTAGATGAATAGGTTGTTTGGACAATGGTTGCAGGCTTAACAGTTAGCCTTAAGATCATACTGATATTCTGCAGATTTAGTAGTCTTTATCAGTTGCCAACCAAGTTGTGCAGTCCACGGTGTTAATATTTAATTTATGCACCTCTGTATCTGATTTGACCGTACGTCTGTCCCGGTATCTTGTACAGTTTGTTGATGCTTAGGAAAAACCGTGATTGCCATTTGTTTTTCATTTTATGTTTATGCTCTTGACTTTCTATTGGCTTTGGGTTTTTAGGGATGATGTATTTACGCAATACCTCATATTTGAGACGATAACTAAGACTGATCATTGTATATTTTTGAGCAACTTGATTTCTGGTTGTATTATCACTTATTATCTTATTGTGCTGTTGCATTGGGTGCTCCTTTTACTTTAAGTTGATTGGGCATCTAGAGATTCTTACAGTATATCCACGGGCATGTATCACCTTAGTTATGCATGTTTATCGTTTCATCCAACCATATCCGTATCCAGTCTTTCTTTGATTCGTTGCACCGGTAGCGGAATTGAGGCTTGGATAACTTCATCCCCACACCATTAATTTGGCAATGGAAACTATTTCTATAATGAGAATTATATTTTAATGTAACTTAACAGTTGAAACCAATTTAATTATATCTACTTGGTTACTGGTGATGGTTTATAATTTCATTAAGTTAATTTTGCTTACTTTATAAAAAAAATCATTAATATTTCATTTCAATAGAAATTTATATTTGAGATTAATCCAGTCAAACATTCTAATTATGTTAACCATTCAGAACTAAATTTATCATTATTCTTACTATATAACCTATCGGTAGTGCAATTTGATGGTTTTTGTAAGTCGATTAAATTCAACATTTATTTCTAAAATTATGTAGAAGTAAAAAAGATTATCTATATTCATATTAACCTTTTTATTGAGTGAAAAATTAATGAAAACAAATTTGAACTTCTAGAAGATGCTATACTGATTTTAGTAGCTACCACGATACGAGCTCTAAAGTATTATAGAAAAGAACGTATTTTCTATTATAAAAATGGCTGTTAATACAGTGATGACCACCAGGGGAACGAACAAATGAAAGAATTTAGGTATAATAGCTACATAAATACACAAATATAGGAATGGCACTCTGATCCTAGAAGAACATAAGATAAAAGTATGCATCGCTTTGTGTTTCTCTCAAGAGATGTTGCATTCGGGAGGAAAACCCAGTGGAAAACGCTTCGCATCTGTGCAATAGTTGTATATCATGTAGTTCCTCTGCACCCATTTCAACCTCTGTTGGCCTGCAGAGTCCAGCTCCTGCGAAAGCCACGAAGAACCACTGGTGGATTCAGAAGCACTCGAACCACAAGACGATGCTCCAGAAGACCATATGCAAGCTTGAGCATTGAAGTTTCTGTAGGAAGCTGTGAATGGAGCTTGTGTCCAATCTGTCTTCACAAGTCCACCTCTTGTTGCCCAGTCATCGGCATTCCACAAACTCGAGTATATCCTCATGGGCTGATTCTTTGGGAAGGGGACCCCAATAGCCTCTGAGTTCTTGAACTCTCTAATGGGAGTGCCATCAACGGAGAATCTGAATAATGAACGTAAGAAATCATGTTAAGGACAGGACCATAGGATAGAGAAGAAAAAGGAAACAAAGTGGTGAGAACTTACATAATCCGCTGGGGGTTCCACGTGATAGAGTAAGTATGGAAATCAGCAGTTGGATCAAACCATAGATAGAATTGTTGTTCCCTGTTCCCTTTGCCTTGGCTGAAAACGTTTGTGTGAAGAATGTAGGGGTCACCGCTTAGATTCCCCAGAAATTCATAATCTATCTCATCCCAAGTTGATCCTTTTGAAGATAACTGCAAAACAAAAAGGCAAACTCAGATCATTAACTCTGAGTGTATAAACGAATTGTTATTTCTATTATTGTTGCATGATATAACAAAGTGAAAGGAAGAACTTACATAATAGGCGGTGACAGTGCCAGCAGAGTTTCCAGGGACAAGCTTGAGCTGCATGTCAATCTTCCCAAAGAGATACTCATTCTTTGATTGGAATCCCGAACCAGACGCTTGGTCCAGTGTCAGAGTGAGCAACTCTCCATTGTTTAGTATCTTGGCTCGGCCATCTCCCCAAGTGAGATCAAAGTCTTTGTTGAAGTCACCAGCAAAGGCAATCATCACTAGAAGGGGGAATAAAAGCATGTAAGAAGAAGTTAAAGCCATCTCCAAAAGCAGTTATAGTGTGCAGTGAGTGAAAGATGTTCAGCAATTGGTAGTGATTGAATGGATAAGTATGTGTATGAAAAATGGTTGATGATGTTATTTATAAGTATGTTGGTTGGTGAGGTGAGGACAATGTTAGGCACTGCATGCCAAAATGCAATTTGTAAAGCAAAGCTGGACACAGTTGGGTAGCTTTTGTGAATAAGAAAGTTCACAGATGGTGCTCGCTATTATCCAGAAACAAAAAGATTAGATATTGTTGGAAGAGACGCGGTTGGTCCCTCTCCCCTAAGTTTGGGACATGGTGAGAGAGAGAGAGAGAGAGAGAGAGTCTGAAACATTGCACTTCATAGAGTTAGCTGCACAAACCCTATCTCATTTTGTTGTTTCCTTTTGGAAGAGAGACACCGCCAAGTGACAGCCAAGGCAAACGCTTTTACAGCTAAACTAATAATCATAACAGTGTCCTAAATTTTAAGGATCATACACTCTCCACCGCCATTTGAACTCTTCCAAAATCTAACCACCAATTGCTAACATCTTAATCCAAATGAAAAGTTGTGTTTAGATCCGAGAGTGAATGTGAGAGAAATTGAGTGAATGGACTTTGGAGATGGAAATGGAATTTTGGTATTGTTTGGATTAGGATTTGAAAAATTTTAAAGAATTTTTTTTTAATACTTTGAAAATGATGTAATAGGTATGTTAAAAAATGTTTTAATTAATAAAATAAATGATTATTAATTTATTTTTGTAAAAATTTGATATAAATATAAATTGAAATAGTGAAAATTATATTAAAATGAAATTGAAAATTAAATTAAATTTTAAAATTAATTTGTAGGAATAAATTTGAAATATATTTTTTAAATAATAATTAGTATATTATTATTTAAATTACTGTTAACAAAAAATATATCAAATTCAACGTAATAAATAAAAATTATTCACATTCATAATAAATTAAAATAATTTTTTAATACAAAGTACGTTAATATAAATTATATTTCTTGAGTTTTCATTATTTTTTTCTCTCAATATTTCAAACTTTATTCATCTTGTGAGACAGAGGAAGAATCTAAATTCATGGCAAATTTAAAATTTTGTTAGTTGTGGGTGAAGATACCAATGAATCAATTGCCCTATAATCCAGAAAATAAAGTTAAACAAGAATCCATGTAAGAAAAATAAAATGTAAATCTGGTTAGCAGTGAGCGCCTGGGAAGCTAATCCAGTGGTATTCGGATTAGGTGAGTGACATTTGATATATGCAAACCAAAGAATAAAAAAATAAATGAAGAATGGTGGCGGTTCCTTAAAGATGTGCGTGTGTTGGGTTTAGGGTCAGACCCTATCTTATTATTTTACACTTACTTTATCAACTCTCGGGAAAAGCAACGTAAACCCGCGTGATCCCCTGCCACCAATATCACCTTCTCAAATTATTAAATTAAAATCAAAACACGACACAACTTGCTTTCATAACAACCTTTTCACAGCTTTCTTCTTACCATAATACAACTATCTATCCACGTGTCCTTTTCCTCTCCCACTTGCTCCAAATCTCAACCACCCTCACTTTCACTCACTATATATACCTTCTTCTCTCTTCCATCGTCTCATCACACCGCAAACATCAACGCTTCATTTCCCACTAAACATTGCAAACCTTCCCTGTTCATTTCTCAAATGCCTTCAACCAATTCTCCTAGCCTACCACTTCTTCCTATCCTTCTAAGTGCTTACTTTCTTCTCACTGCTGCTGCTAACTTCAACCAAGACTTTCAGATTACGTGGGGAGATGGTCGTGCCAAAATTCTCAACAACGCCAATCTTCTCACTCTGTCTCTTGACAGAGCCTCTGGCTCTGGCTTCCAGTCCAAGAACGAATACTTGTTTGGAAAGATCGACATGCAGCTCAAGCTCGTTCCTGGAAACTCTGCTGGCACTGTCACTGCTTATTATGTAAGTTCCATTTCATAAATCATGGAGACCGCATTTGCATGATTTGTTCTTACCTTACAATGACAGAGACTTATAATATTGTTTGTTTTGCTCTTTTCAGTTGCGTTCAGAAGGGTCATCTTGGGATGAGATAGACTTTGAGTTCCTGGGAAATCTGAGCGGTGATCCTTACATTGTTCATACTAATGTGTTCACACAAGGCAATGGTAACAGAGAGCAGCAATTCTATCTCTGGTTTGACCCAACTGCAGATTTCCACACATATTCGATTCTCTGGAATCCCCAGCGCATTGTGTAAGCACTCAGCACCCAATCCAATCTTCTACAAGCCGATGGAAAAAAAAAACACAAATCTTCTTCACATATAAATTGCAAGCTACTACAATTCTTCGATGCACATCATTTGTTTCAGTCACTAATTTCTGTCTCCTATAACTGTGTGTTGCAGATTTTCTGTGGATGGAACCCCCATCAGAGAGTACAAGAATTTGGAATCAATTGGGATTCCTTTTCCGAAGAGCCAACCCATGAGGATATACTCGAGCCTTTGGAACGCTGATGATTGGGCCACAAGGGGTGGACTCATCAAAACTGATTGGTCGAAAGCTCCTTTCACTGCTTCCTACAGGAACTTCAATGCCAATGCTTGTGTTTGGAATGCAGGAAAATCCTCATGTAAATCAAATTCTCCTTCCTCTGCTGCTCCTGCCACTAATGCATGGCTATCACAAGAGCTGGATTCAACTGCCCAGAAGAGGATGAACTGGGTGCAGAACAATTACATGATTTACAATTACTGCAAGGATAGGAAGAGATTCCCTCAAGGCCTTCCACTTGAATGCACACATTCCTAGAACTGGATTTCGATCTTCCAATTCCCACAACAAGTGATACAAAAAAAACCATTCTTTTATTATTTTTTTCTTCATATCTCTTTGTTTCTTCGCCGTTCGTGCTCTTTTATGATGTAAAAATATCTACAATAAAATAACGGTTTTGTTATAGTGAGCGTAAAATCTCTTCATTTCTTTATCTTTAGTTTATATTTTTTAAAGAGTTAATGTGCACAAGGATAATGTATTATGGAACAATAAAATTTTCACATGGGTTGGTTCCTTGTACTGTAAAAAGGGGTTAGATAACAAGTAATTCAAGTTCACTTTTTGATTAGATGATAAATTTTTTTAAGAAAATAAATTTGTAGTTTTAATTAAAGCATTGTCAAGTAAAATGATTTTAGATATATAATTAATTATATTTTTACCACTTAATATTCTTTAACAATTTAGTCGTTACTTCTTTTCACACTGTTGACTTACACAAATTTTGCAAAGAGTTGGGATTCAATTTTTATTTGCTTCTTCATAAATACGATAGACCATGAATTTAAGTAACACTATACAATTTCATAAAATCCTATGATTTTTCCAATCTAAATAAATTAAGTATTGTGAACAATTGATTCGACTCATGAATTACCTCACGTATAAGAGATATAATTAATAACATCTTCAATTCTAAAATGAGTTTGTGATTATTTTTTTTTGCTTATTATTTATCACACTTATCTCTATTTAATATGGGATGAATTCTTTACTCTATATTTGAATTTATAGTGGTTAAACATTTCCTCTCGCCATATTCAATAGTTGATTAAATATTTTGGCTTTTTTAGAATGGTTCACAAGATTTTATGCTGATTACAAAAATTGTGTCACTCCATCTTTCTAAAAAGAACTTTTTTAATATCTAGGCATTTCAACAAATTTAAGACCTAGATATTTGATTATTGACTCATTCCCTTTTAACTTATGATTTCTTTGAGTCATAAATTGATCCTTGGATTGTAAATGATCTCCACCAAATTTGTCACAACATAGTCAACATTGCCATGCTCCTCCTAAATCAATTTTTTGTGCAATATTTTCACTAAACATACGTCTAAGGGTAATGAAAAAGATATCATTGAAGAGCGAAAAGAAGTCGCAAACAGGAATTAATGATGAAGTAAAAAAATATTATTAAAAAAATATAACAACTATAAGGGGAAAAAAATAAAAAAAAATAGCATAAGAAATTGAAGATGGTATTCAAAATAATTATTGTTTCAACTTCTAAAACTATTTGTATGCGTACAGTAAGGAATACGTCTAAAATTTTGACATTAATATCTTATTTCATGGTTATGTGTAGTTAGGCAGTTGTTGGTTAATTTGTTGGCCATTTTCAAGTCAGTTGACAATTACTCCATTAAAGAATCGACAAAAGAATATTAACTAGGACAAACGTGTTACTGTAGAATTTGCAGAGTGTAAAGGATTGAAGAAAAGTATTATTGATGCTTCTTTCCTATTCTTGTAAAAGAATGGACATGTACCAAAGAATCAAAGAATCAACGTTCTTACAAGTGAAAATGAATTCAATAATGAAGAATGAAGAACTGTGGTGGTACTTGTTTGCAGCAGAATTATTAGTAGGAAATCATGATGATTGGCACTCTGGGGGAAGGCCTTGAGGAAATCTGTTGGTGTCAGTGCAATAATTGTAAATCATGTAATTCTTCTGCACCCAACTCAGTCTATCTTGGTTTGTTGAATCCAGTTCTTGCGAATACCAGGTATTGGAGGAGCCAGAATTGGAACTGCAAGAAGATGATGATCCCCAATGGACACAGGCATCTGCATTGAAATTCCTGTAAGAAGCTGTGAAAGGAGCTTGGCTCCAATCAGTTTTCACAAGACCACCTCTCGTTGCCCAGTCATCAGCATTCCAAAGGCTAGAGTATATCCTCATGGGTTGATTCTTAGGGAATGCAACTCCTTTTGATTCCATGTTCTTGAATTCTCTTATGGGAGTCCCATCTACCGAGAAGCTGAAACATGTGTCATCCACCATACATTCAGTAACATAATTCAAGGCAAACCTTTTGAGAAACTAAAATATGACGTTGTCAGGGATGTATGATCATTGAGAAATGCTTACATTATGCGCTGAGGATTCCAGAGAATGGAATATGTATGGAAATCTGCCGTTGGGTCAAACCAAAGATAGAACTGTTGCTCCCTGTTGCCTTTTCCCTGACTAAACACATTGGTGTGAAGGATGTATGGGTCACCACTCAGATTCCCCAAGAATTCAAAGTCGATCTCATCCCAGGTTGACCCTTTTGATGATAACTGTATTACATTACATCACACAAAACCAAATTAGAATAAAAATCATGGGATTTTAAGAGGACTAGCATGAAGGAATGCATAAGCACAAAACTTCAACATGTTTTTGGATGTGTACTTACATAATAGGCAGTAACAGTTCCAGCAGAGTTTCCAGGTACAAGCTTGAGTTGCATATCAATCTTGCCAAACAGATATTCGTTTTTGGACTGAAAGCCTGAGCCAGAGGCTTGGTCAAGAGAAAGAGTGAGAAGGTCGCCGTTGTTGAGTATCTTGGCTCGGCCATCTCCCCATGTTATTTCAAAATCCTGATAGAAGTTGGCAGCAGAAGCTGCAATGGAAAAGGAGAATAGGAATGCAGAAAGGATAATTATTGTTGAAGATGACATGGTTGATTTGAAAATAAGAATGAGGGAAGGATGAAGGAATGTCTGTGGCAGAGAAGAGAAGTGGGATTGGTATTTATAAGTTGAAAGATGTGGAAGCAACAGAGGAAGGTGCAAGCATTTAAAAGAATAGTTGAAAGAAAACATTAAGTATTAGAAAATGGGGTGTCATACTCGTTTTGTGTGAGAAAGTGGAGTGGTTTGGTTGCATCATAGGACGCGCTTTTGGTTTTATAAGGAGTCACCAGCTTGCAAAGTTGGTGTAAAGTGGGCATGTGGGTTTCCACAGAATGTTCCCAGCACCGCCACCAAGCCCTTGCGTTGATCTGTGTTAATCACTTCCCCTTTTTAGTCTTTTATTTCAATTGCATAAATAATAGTTTTTTTTTTTTCAATATTCGAGGATCATTAAACATTATAGGATTATTCAATCTGATTTCATCATTTTTTTCTTTAATTTAATTATCATTTTATTTAAAATGAGTGGTCATAAACTTATTAAATTAATATTTATATTGTTTAGATCATGACATGTGTCAATAATTTTGGATTTTTTAACTCTTTTTTTCTTATTTTTACTAGAAGTAATATTTTGATACTATATTTTTTCTACTTTGATACTATTCTTTTTAACATTTTATTTATTTTTTGAATACAAAAAATAACTTTTTTTATAATATATTAAATAAATATAAATGTGTGTCCTTCTATCGTTATTTTCATTTTTATTTATTGTATTTTATAATATATTTGAAGGAAGTAAAAAATAAATACATAAATAAAAGTAAAAACATTAAAGTTAAAGAAGCTTAAAATTACTTAAATATGTGTGTCAATACTAATTTAACAACATGGACTATATTGACTTTTCCTAAATAAAATAGGAAGTGAGTAAGAAAAAATTAAAATATTAAATAACATCAAATAAACCTTTTAAATATTGAGAGAAATAAAAAACTTTTTAAGTTATAAAAAATATTAATTTTTTTTTTTTAAATAGTGAACAAAGTGGTTAAAGTAAATTATCTTAACTCGTGATAATTTTTAACTACCACAATTAATAAGGTTTACATTAAATTTTAGATTTTGCATTGATTCTCGTGTGTTAAAAGTTATTAGCAATCACAAATACAAGTACTCAATACTTTAAATTTTAGATTTTGCTTAATTCTCGTGTATTATTTCATTATTATTTATTATTATTATTATATTATTATTATTATTTTATCTTATCCCTTATCATAAATAAGGATTGTAATAATATTGTTTGGAAACTATCAGAAATTTTCCTAGTAATACATAAGCTTTTGACAGATAGAAAATGTGTTTATTTGAACAACTCTTCGGAATATATTTTATAAAATAGATTTAAGTTTAAATTAATTTTATAAAATTGATTCTTAAAATAAAAAATTTATTTATTTATATACCATAAATTGATATTATATTTAATTAATATAAAATATTTAACACATTCTCTTACATAAAAGAAAATATATCAAATGTTTCATAAAAACAATTTTTTATAGTCTTAAGATAAATTTAAAACTTAATTCAATTTTACATAATGGAATTATATAAGGTAAAACTTTATATCCTTTTTCGATGTCAATTTATCGAAAAACTGACTTTATGTGTACTTAATATAGGTTCCATGCATTTTAATTTGGAAAAAGAATATGTCAACACTTAGAACTCCCTCTAACCAGTTTTTATTTTATAATAATATATAATTCGATAAAAGTTCAAAGAATATTAGTATTCAGTCAATGTTCAACAACATTTTTATAAATATCTTAAATATTAATCTTAATAATATTATTCAATTACAACCGTTTGTAATAGCTTTTGATCGAAAACTTGGTATTTGAATAGTCACCTTGTATAAAAGTCTGAATAATGTAAAATTAATCTACTCATATTATCTCAATAAACTTAAAATCTAAAGAGATAATGAACAACATATTAATTATGTTTTAATAAGGTAATGTTTGCAAATTATACGTTAACCTGTGTTAGGGTAATTAATTATTTGTCAAAACTGGTAACTCGGTTGAATTCGACCCGATTCACCATAAGTTGGTCACCTAGTGAATCAAACTCAATCCGATTTACTTATAGCGAGCTAAAAAAATGTAAACATTACCAGATCTATCATGGATTGGTGGGTTAAACTTGGTTTATTGATTCATTAATTTACAATTTTTTTGTAATTTAAATATAAATAAATTTTACTCTAAAATGATGTGAAACTTGAAAAACAATTCAAAAAAAAATTATCATACAATCCAAATGTAATTCAAAAGCAAAAACAAAAAACAAACAAATAAGTTTGATTATTTTTGTGTCACTTGTCCATAATATTGAATAATGGATAAATCCATAATATTTTGTTCTCTTGAAACATCTTTTTCTTTATCACCATCTATAATACAATGAAAATAAGTGTTAATTAATAACATCAAAGACAAAATAATAAATAATTAAATTAAATTAAGTGAGTTGGTGAGTCAACTTAGCTCACCATGAGGTTGAATCCAGGTGAGTCAAGTTCTAAATGAATCAGATTGAAAATTAGTCCCTATAAAAAAAATTATTTTTTTCAAACCTAACCTGACCCGAACATGTGATAGACCAAATTGATGTTCCGGTTGTAACCCATCTTAACAACATTAATTCTAATTATTGAACGTTTTATACTAATTAATTGTATTTTAACATGACTTCTATAAAGATCTAACGTTTTTAAATAGACGATTTATATGGCAAGTTTTTTATGCAAATATTTAAGAAAACTTATCATGATAGCAATGTTTTACGATGAATAAAAGAATTGATCATGATGGAAAGTACAACAGAAGAAATAAAAAAGAAAGTGGAGCATGGAAAGGATTGATAAGAAAAATTAGGCAGTGTTGCACTCTGTAGGAAGGCCCTGTGGAAATCTTTTGGCGTCGGTGCAATAGTTGTAGATCATGTAATTCTTCTGTACCCACTTCAGCCTCTCCTGGTTAGTAGAGTCCAATTCTTCCGAGAGCCAAGCATTGGGAGAAGAGACAGAGTTTGATCAAGAAGAAGTTCCAGAGGACACAGTGCAAGCATTGGCATTGAAGTTTCTGTATGAAGCCGTGAATGGAGCTTGGCTCCAATCGGTTTTTACAAGCCCTCCCCTTGTGGCCCAATCATCTGCATTCCAAAGGCTTGAGTATATCCTCATTGCTTGGTTTTTGGGGAATGGAACACCCTTTGACTCCATGTTCTTGAACTCCCTTATTGGAGTTCCATCCACAGAGAATCTGAAATCGAACAAAATTGACAAACAGACTCAATGCGTTGCTTTTATCACAAGTTTGAAACCAAAGCAAAACAGAACAAAACATGTACATGGGAAAACCATCTAGAAAAAAAACTTACACAATACGTTGAGGGTTCCAGAGGATGGAATAGGTGTGAAAATCAGCAGTTGGGTCAAACCAGAGGTAGAATTGTTGCTCCCTATTACCCTTGCCTTGGCTAAACACGTTGGTGTGGAGAATGTAAGGATCACCGCTCAAATTCCCCAAGAATTCAAAGTCAATCTCATCCCACGTTGCTCCTTTTGAAGACAGCTGAAATTAAGCACCACAAGTATTTCCCATTAGCATTTCTAAAAAGATAAAACTTAGAAACAATATGAATGATAAATCGTAGGCTTATTACATAGTAGGCAGTGACGGTGCCAGCAGAGTTGCCGGGGACTAGTTTGAGTTGCATGTCAATTTTGCCAAAAAGGTATTCATTCTTTGACTGAAAGCCGGAGCCAGAGGCTTTGTCAAGAGACAAAGTGAGAAGGTCGCCATTGTTTAGTTTTTTGGCACGACCATCTCCCCAGGTTATTTCAAAATCTTGATTGAAATTGGATGCAGAGGCAATCAGAAAATACCCAACAATGCATGTTAACAGTAAAAGTCTTGAAAATGCCATGCAGAATTGTTTTGTGTGAAACTGAGTGAAATTGTTTTTGGTTATTTGTGAGAATGTTGGTTGATAATGCAAAGAATGGTATTTTATAGGAGAAAAAAAGAGAGATTGTTAGATAAGAGGAAAGTGAGAAAAAGGTAGGTCGTGAACTTTTGAATTAGTTGTAGACAGCTGGTGAAGAATGAAAAAGTAGTAAGTTTTGTTGTTGTAAATGGACGCCCACACCAATCATTTCACGCGTTTCTGCATGAAATGTATATAAGGAGACACCGCCATACACAGTACATGGTTTCTATTATTTAATATTTTCAACAATCTTGTGTTTTTTTAATTAACTAATACTTTTATCGAAGATCAAAAACAATTTTCACAGGTTGGTGACCTGGAAATTATCATTTCTCAATCTCGATTTCCTGGGCTATTTTAGTTTCCTGCTTCTAGAACATTTAGTATAATTATTTTCTGAATTCTAACACTAGGAGTAGTTATACCAATTTCAATTATATAATCAACATATTATCTGAGAAGTTATTGTTGACAATAACTTAATTCGTAAAACTGAAAAATAAAATAAAAATGAATAGCAAATGAAACTAAAACTAAATTTGACACTCTTTCTAGAACTATCGAGAGATCTAAAATAAATTTGAAAATGAAAAACTTTTTTATCATGATCTTATTTAAAATTTCTTTTTAAATTTGTTAAGACATTTTTTTATGTTTAATGTAATTAATACCAACATAAACTTTGAGATTTTTTTAAAATTTTAAATAAGGACTTTACCTATTTGGATTTTGAGTTCGTTTTGAGTATTTATTTACTTTGATCTTTTAACAGAAAACTTTGATACTGATTTAGAGTATATGCATCTTTTAAAGAATATATAAATTGCTAAGATAGTAGATAAAATATAATTACAAAAAAAAAATGAAGTGATGAATTTTACTAATAAAAAATGGCATATATTTATATTACCTTTCCTCATTATTTTTAACCATACACTCCATTATAAAGAAAAAAAAAATAATAAGGTACCCCTATGTTAGTGGTTTATGAATTATTTGGTTTTAAGAAAAAAAAAAAGTTTCCTACTCTATTTTATTTTTTGTTGAATAGAAACAGAGCTGGTAAAACCAACCCAGTCTCCAGACCAACTTACCTAACAATTTTATACAGGGTTTGTTGAACTCCTTCTTTTAGTCTAAGGGTGAGGTCACTTCAACTAACTTTAAAATTAAAATTTAAAAGAAAAAATAAATAAATAAAAATAAAAAAACATACATTTTTAAAATTGAAGTTATGTTATTAAATTCGAAATTAGGTATAATAAATTGATATAAATAATAATGCATGTTTGTATTTAAAAGATACAACTTCAATTTTAATATTTTTAAAATAGAATTATTATTTTATAAAAGTAAATTGGTTCATAAATGTATGCATCAGTCCTGCTTAAATCAAATTTAAATTGCGGGTGAAATGAATTAAATAAAAATACTTGATTCAGTTTATTATAATCTTCCTTACCTCAACTTGATCTGTTTTAAAATTCTTTTTTTACCAAATCTATTTTGACAATACTCCATTCCCAAAACAGTGAGCATAATTTTATTTTGGCAGCTATAGAGAATTCAAACAGCGATATCGCAATCCCAAACACCCAGCATAATGTGCTGATAGATTAAAACTAGGTCGAAAACATAC